ATTATTAAACAATACCAGCCAGCATCACCTTGACATTATCAACCCCATGTTTAGCAGTTTCCTGCACTTATTTCATCCACATTCTGGTAGGATGTACTTCAAAGCAGAAATAGGGTCTGTATTAAAGTCTTCTGCTGTGAAAGTATAACATCTCCCCAGTAGATCTAACACAATCTTTATTTTGTATCTCTAATCCTTGAAGTCTGAGTCCTCTTGCCTCATGCAGGGGCAGGAGAAGATTTATTTTATTTTTTTAAACTGTGCCCCATTAATCCATTTTGTCAAGCTACTAATAAGGATCCAAAAAGTTACACAATCATCTAATTTTAAGCACATACATAAAACATTCCTTATACTCTACTGCATTTCTGTTTATGATTTGTAATATGTCCAGGAAGTATATATTATAAATATTATTAAAAGATGTGTTTTCTTTTGAAAATTATTAAACCAAAAGTTTTCTATTTTTAAAATGCAAAATATAAATATTAAAAATATATATGCAGAAAACAGACACTTGAAATATAATGTAAATACATAAAATGTATATGTATGTATTTGTATGTGTTAAATTAACACATAGTTAATATAATATTAACCAGTATCTTACATACTGTGTGTGTGTGTGTGTGTGTGCGCGCGCGCGTTTGTATATATACCTTCAAGTTGCCTGTTGACCTAAGGTGACTCCATTAATTTCATAGTTTTCTTAGGCAAGAAATATTCAGAAGTGGTTTTACCAATTTCTTCTACTAAAATAAAGCCTACAGCACTGGTGTTCATTGGCGGTCTCTCATCCAAGTACTAACCAGGGCTGACCCTGCTTAGCTCCCAAGATCAGACAAGATCTAGCACCTTTAGGCATACATACATCATTGTTGTTGCTTGCCTTGAAGTAGTTGCTGACTTATGGCAACTCCAAGGTGACCCCATCAAAGGATTTTCTCTTTCTATGTGTGACTCACCTAAGGGCACCCAGTGGGCTTCTATGGTTGAGCAGGGAATCAAACACTTATCTCCATAGTTGAATGTTCAAACCAGTGTTTGAGCACCTAACTTAATCTAACTTTTTCCCCTCAGATAGCAGCCCTATGGGTATTGTGATCCCACTGCTGCTGCCCCAGTATGTGGTGTAACAGACCACTTTTATGTATATCTATGGATTTACTCCCCAAT